AGACAGACAGACAGACAGACAGACAGACAGACAGACACAAAGGAATATCAGGACAGATGTGTTTTGGTTATCCCAATATCCACCATTGGTTTTGCACTTCAGCAATGTCTATTTAGAATATGTTAGCACTTCTCAAAGATTAGTTTTATTAGCAGCTACCAGCATTCTAATTTATATGTTGTATTCCTGCCCTTGCTTAAGTGCTTGACTGGCAAGCACAGGGTCCTCAGTTCAATCTCCGGTACCACTAAAAAAAAAAATAAAAAAAGAAAGAAAGAAAGAAATGACATGTGACCTACTTTGCCTATGCTCTTACCACTGTTGAAAATTTGAGCTAGATTTTAAAGAATGTTTAGGCTCAAATTCAGTGGTCATGCTTTATGATTATTCTGTTTTGGTTGAAAAAATTTGAAACATTAATCCTTGGAAGCAATCTTTTTAAGCCTTCTGAATGAGAAATCTTGGATCTTCAAACAACCATAGAAGAGCATTATGGTGCTGTGACTACAATGAAAGGTAAGTATAGGTGTGAATGCTTCAGTGTGGAGATGAGAGGAAGACACTGAGGAGCCAGGAGCGCTATCATCAAAACAGCTGTAAAGAGCCAGCTTCTTTTCGTTGGTCTCTATAATAATATTCAGAGGAACACTGATGCCTGGGCATTCAGGGATCGAGTGCATCCTCTTATATTAAGGGACTGACAAGTGGACCTAAATCTATCTGGCTTAATCATATGCCATAAACTCTGAAACATAAAGGAAATCTATACAGTAGTAATCAGCCTCAAATGTCAGCATGGAAGGGAACTAATGACTCTAGGAGAATGTTTCTCTCATGCAACAAGGAGAGATGGATTCATCTAAAGCTAGAAATAGCCAGAAAGTGATGATGTAGACAGGCATGGAGAGGATTTGGAGCAGCAGTCTCTTTGGAAATCCTGCAGGATTAACTGGAAAGCGTATAAAAGGATGTTAATGAAAATGTGCCATCCCACATGAAAATCAGAAATTTTAAGGACTGTGTTTAAGTACTGCCATTTGCCATGCAGAGAGAAATGAGGGGGATTGATCTGGATCACTCTTCTAAGGCAGAAGGCAAAGGCTTTGTGGTAGTGAGAATGGTAGAAACTTCACTATTAGGATATTCTTGGTTCCTCACCTTCAGCCAGAGTAACACATACACACACACACACACACACACACACCCTTCACAATGCCACTGTAAATTATCGACACAATTTTATTTGCTACATATATATATATATATATATATATATATATATATAGTTTCCATGATGAAATTTTAAGCAGCTAAAAATATGAGAATTATTATGGTATTTCTGAGCACCCATAATCACACAGCATGGGGATTTATTTTGTAGCAATGGCTACGAGGAGCCGTTTAATGAGTTAATTAAAAAGACTACAACAAAGAACAGCTTGGAATATGAGATACATTCAGTATAAGCTATTGCAAATTTGAGATGCTTATGGGAGATATAAATATAGATTATAAGGGGGATGATAGATTTGAAGAATGAAGTCAAGGAAGATAAAAGCAATATTTCAAACTACACGCTTTTGATTTGAAGACTTGATGATCAGATATTTATTCTATTATCTGATCTAATATTTGGAAAATAAATGCCAGATTCCTGATGACCAACCATTTGTGATAGCTTTTTATCTTTTATTGTCTTGCAATGAAACTCTGGCGTTCACCAAGCTGACAACTCCATATTTGAACACCAAGGATCATGTCCAGCAAAGCTCATAAAGGTCACTTCGTGCCAAAGGAAATAAAAAATCTGGCCCCCAAGGGGCCGTGCGCCGGACGCCGCGCCCCGACCGCTCAGGTCTCCGCTGCCGAGGGGCCTCGCGGGGAGCGGCCATGTTGACGGCGTCGCCGCGCCTGGGACCGGGATTCAGAAGGAGCTGGCCGACGTCACTCTAGACCCTCCGCCCAACTGCAGTGCTGGTCCTAAAGGTGACAACATCTATGAGTGGAGATCTACCATTCTAGGACCCCCAGGATCTGTGTATGAAGGAGGTGTATTCTTTTTGGATATCACATTTACTCCAGAATATCCCTTCAAACCTCCAAAGGTTACATTTCGGACAAGAATCTATCACTGTAATATTAACAGTCAAGGAGTTATTTGCTTGGATATATTGAAGGATAATTGGAGCCCAGCACTAACTATTTCTAAAGTCCTCCTTTCTATCTGCTCACTTCTTACAGACTGTCATCCTGCCGACCCTTTGGTGGGAAGTATTGCCCCCCAGTATATGACCAACAGAGCAGAACATGACAGAATGGCCAGACATGGACCAAGAGATACGCTACATAAATTGAACTGAGTTTTCACAATTCTTACATTATTTGTCTGTCACAGAAGAGAGCTGCTTATGATTTTGAAGGGGCAGAGGGTGGGAGTTGGTAAAGAGTAGGGCATTTCCATAACAGATATTATTCAGTCTTATTTCCTAAGATTTTGTTGTAACTTAAGGTATCTTGCTACAGTAGACAAAATTGGTATTAGCACCTTTTAAAAGTCATTAGTTCTACAATATTGGCTGAAATACAGTATGGAAAAGAATGTACACTTAGACATTTGAATTCTATTGCTTATAGTATGTAATTTTTAAACAGCTTAATTTGTACAGGTTACACATGGCCATTTATGTAAAGTCATTGTAAGATGGCATACTTT